CTCGCACCGTCGGTCTCGAGATGGTGTTGATGCACATTCCCATATCCTGATGTGGAGCTGCGATACCTCGCTGTGATTGGACAGCTTTAGTGTTGTTGTGATCGGAATTTGACGGACAGGCCACCCGTTAAAAATCCCTGTTATCTGATTGGCTAAAAAGTATCCGTGACGTGGCAATATGGTTGCGGAGTATTGAGGCAGCTCGCTATCGTAGAGTCGCCTACGCTCGAGTGGTGTTCCAAGCATACCGTCTCCGTCGACTTGGATCGACACATAAGCCCCACTACATGGTCAAGAAGAGGCGCGCGAAGCGGGAGCGCGAGTCTCGGCCGAGGCTCTCGTACTCGTCAAAGGTAAATGGGGACCTTGCTCGAGGATTGGACTTGCGTGGCAAGCAAGCGCCGAATGCCGACGCACGCTACATCATCCTTTTCATTAGGAGCTCGAAAGTGTGTGTACCTGTGTACTAGTACACCTCCTTGATGCCATCACCGTAGCCGAGATGACAGGGCAATTTACGATCCCAGTTGAAACTCGCGAGCGCACTGCGTTGACGCGGTAACCACTGAGAGTCGACGCTATAACATCCTAATAAAACGCAAGGAAACATTCTTAATTGAAGACGCGCGCTTCGTGTCCATCCGTCCGTGGCTTCCTTCAACGAGGACGGCTCATTATCACAGCGCACCCAATGTTGACCTCGCGCAGTACAAGTGCTTCTTGATCTCGTTGAGGTTGCTCTCGAGCATCTTACGGCTCGAAAGTGTGTGTACCTGTGTACTAGTACACCTCCTGGAGAGGAAAATAAAAATCCATGAAAGAGAATTTGACGGCTCCCTGTCCGCTAAAACGTGCAGGCCACTGTGCAGCCCAGAGTACTGTTCGTTAAAAGCATATTAATGGTTAAGTGACCACCACTGAATTCGCACACTATAACACCATTAAATATACAACGCACACTAATCAAACACCATCTGGAAAGGGTACTTGACGAGCAAAGAGCAATCTGGCGCTCGCACCCTGACCACGTTTCTCGACGCAGTACTGCGCCAGCCCGAGCTCGTGGCCTTGGTCTTTGGCTACCAAGGTGGTGTCTTCGAAGACATTGCGCCCCGCTTCCGGCACTTTTACCTTTTCGTGGACTTCGAGTCGGGCGGCAACCACGGCGTCTACTGGCTCGACCCAGTGCACTTCGACACCTCGTACCGCCAGCGCGCAAGCGACGAGACGCCGCCAGCCGTCCTCAGCTCGGACGAGCTCAATCTCAACCAGCACAATACGCGTGATCCTCGCTTTCCACTGCACTTTGCGATTCTAGAGGGCAATCTACCTGCGACTCGGCGCATCCTGCGCTGCCGACCGGACCTCGCGTACCAAGAAGCCATTGAGCCAGCGCCATCATCTCGAGATCGCGGCGTACCTCTTGGAGCAGCGGAAGGAAAGTGTGCCTCAGCTATACCGCAACTTTGAAGACACGTCCGGCGGGTGGCCGTCGCGATGCCAAGACGAGTGGCTACCCCGCTCGACGCTGTGCATGAACGACGCGTCGGTCGTAGCATTACTGTGGGCCCATCGGCAAAGCGACTGGAACTGGAGAGATCTTATCCTCACAGCGATCAACGAGCACGCGCTTCAAGCTCTGGCCTTTCTATGTGCTCACTCGCCGCCAACGGCCTTGTCGGGTGTGCTGGACGCAGTGAGCGGCAGTAGCCCACTGTCTTTGGTCGAGGTCTTGCACGCTCGTGGAGCCGACTGCACGCACGTGGCGATGGACAGAGCCGCATCTGCCGGCAACTTTGACGTCGTCGTCTTTTTGCACGAGCACCGTACGGAAGGCTGCACCACCGACGCGATGGACAGAGCCGCCACGTACGGCTACTTCAACGTCGTCGCTTTTCTTCACGAAAATCGCTGCGAAGGCTGCACCACAGACGCACTCGACGGAGGCGTGGGCGGCGACTACCTCGATATCGTCCGGTTCCTCTTTGACCACCGGGACGAAGGTGCGTCCTCCGACGTCTTGGACAAGGCTGCGGCGAACGGCAACTTAATCATTTTTGTGTACTTGCAGCAACGTGGGCCGTTTGCGCACTCGACGGCCGCCATCGACTTGGCCGCCAGCAACGGCCACCTCGACGTTGTCGCCTACCTCTTGGCCCACCGAGAGGACGGTGGCAGTCTGGATAGTACCGTTCGCGGTGCACTCGAGAACGGCCACATTGCGATCGTCGAGCTCCTCGTCGCTGCGGGGTATCCTCTTCCAACGGACGTTTCCCGCGTCGTACGGGCGATGCGCCAGCCCAACGCGCTCGCTCTCTTGCAGCTCTACGTAGCCCAGGGCGTTGCGCTGCCAGGAGCGTGGACAGCTGATGTGCACACGTTTGGCGCCAAGGACGTGTCTGCGTTTTACCGCCGCCACTCGCCGCACCACCCGCCCAACAATTTAAGCCTCCATTTTGAGCATATGACGCTGGACGAAGTGCGGACGGCGCTCGCAAAGGAAGATTTCAATGCAGTTGCTGCGCTCTGGGCGACGCAGCCCGAGATGCGCCAGGACTTCTTGCTCGAGGTTATCGTGCGCACCAACGAGTCGCTCGACGCCCTCTCGTTTCTCCTTGAAGCAGGCGTCGGGCAGCCACGGGACGTTGCACGCGCGTCCATTCGTCGCCGGAGCTTCGCCATGCTGCGCATTCTCCTACCCTATTGTCTCGACCCAAGGGATCCTATCGACAACCTCGTCTTCCTTATCGAGTGGGTTCATACGCAGTCGCACGACTTCACCGCGTCACCGCTCCTTTTGCTCAAGACCGAGATGATCGCTCAGGCATATGCGGCCAACTGCCTTGACATCCACGTCGGCTCGGGTATCGAGGCACTGACGGCGGAGCTATTGGAGACGGGCGCGACATCTTCGATCGTGGAACCTGCGATCGGAGGCCTCGAACAACGCGTGCTCTTCAAGTCGGGTGTCGCCGACTGGGGCCTTGCCACGCTTTTTGTGCATTTCGCGGCCGTGGACCCTACCAAGCACGTTGCGCAGCTGCTACGGTGGCTCGATATGGTGACCAATGCGGTTCTAACGACGCATCTGCAGCACCTCCTCAACAAGACGTTTGCCGACCGCCTTGATGTCGTCGCTGCTGCGCGAGCGGCGTCGGATGCCCATACGTACGCAGCGGCGTACGACGACTATTAG